GCACTTGGCCTTGTTGAACTCCAAGTTCATACTGTTGTCATACTTACGAGTTGCGTTCCTTTATTCTGGGTAAGAATTGTCACTTTTATGGGAATTCCAATATTTTAAGTCAAACCTTATAAAACTCTTAAGAGATTCTTTCCTCCTCCTAGACCCTCATGTCCCTCCTCATGTCTAGCATAAGCCCACAGTAAGACCAATGCTCTAACAGACTGCCACTCGCTTACATTCTACACTCCACCAAAGCACCGAACTGGTGCATCTATGCTATTCGAAAGACATCAGACCACTCCATCAATGCTAGAACTTGCTGTATACCAACCCATCATCTTCTCTGCTGTAATCTGATTTTCTGGCAGCATAGTGTTCTCTGTGAAACTTGACACTGATCTTGTGACCCTCCCTTCATTCCTGACCTAGAGTAAGGGGAGATGCTACCTTCCATAATGCACTGGAGCCTGCTCGCAACAGCTGGAGCTGCATATCTTAGACAGCAACTGTCCCTAAAGCGTTCTGAACTACATGTGCACACCATTCAATCACTAATTGCAAAATCTTGTACTTAATTCAGAAGAAAGAAATTCCTGTAATGTAGAAGTAATGGGTTAAACGTAGAGCATTTTTAAGTGGCTCAGCTATACAATGGAGAATAATTAGGTATCCATAATAAGGCAGTTTAATAGTATACTAAATGACATTCCCCCACATAGGGTGTAATTAGTTTCATGTACTTGACACATTCATGCGAGATGTCAGACTGGAAGATTATTATTGGGTTTTTTTCATACCCAATTTTTAGTTAGAACCAGTTTGTCTGTGCATCTTCCCGCTCATTTGAGGATTAACAGTCCATTATTTTTGGACTGAGATTCCAGTATGACATTTCTCACATTGCTATTAATTTCCTTTCCTGGCCCCTTTTCAGTAGAGTGCATGTGGTTTTTACTATTCAATTCATTAAATTTGACATACCGAAGCACTTGCTCAGATTGGTCTGTTTGTCAATGAAGACTTTAGCAGAGATAACATTTCCAAAAGGCATGAACATCTGCAGAATGTCCTGGTCTCCAAACTCCTGGGGGAGGTGGTAAATAAAGAGGTTTGCCCCTTCTGGACCTTTAGGAAAACAAACAAACAAAAAGGATGAAACCAGCTATTACAAGTGCCATATTTAATCCATGTTTCCATAATACTTACTGAAGGTGATGGTCAGAAAGCATTTCACTTTCTGAATTTGAAGGAAAAAAAGCAAGCGGATCATCAAAGGAACAGAGATGAAATGCAGCTATTTAGAGCATCCTATCTTGAAAAGTGTTTACATCATAACTCTGCTACAGAAGAAGTTAAGCTGCGGACCTTTCATATGAGTGTCTTTCAGCATAATTAAGGTTAGGAAAGCATGTATACAATGTATGACTCTCTCACATTACCCCAAGAACTGCACAAGGACTCCTCTGCTGCCTCAAGCATCTGCATGGGTTTGTCGGTTTAATTCTAGTTGTACGGAAATGCAGTGAGCTGAGCTCAGATTTGAGTATCACAGGTGTAAACTCAAAGGGCAACCGGGGGAGATGGTAATAAAAAGGATAAGACAAAGCAAACCTTGTGACTTGGAAATCAGGAAAGTCAGAGAGAGAAATATACTAAGATCTAAATTTCTACTAAGTAATTATTAAATGACAGTTTAAAAAAAAAAAAAAAAAAAAAGAACAAATTCCCCGTAGAAAGCTCTGTCTCCTGGAAGAAATTCTGTAAAGTAAGCCTTTTAAAAAAGTTCAAAATAAAGGAGTTGAGTTGAAATTAAAGTGGTTTTAGACAAAGTTGAGTTTATAAAGAAAGGTGCAAATCCAAGTTGCTTTGAATATTTTTCTGACAGCCAAAATTTGGGATACATATTATCAGTGATGTTGGTTTAAATACTCATCCTAGCACTAATAGGATATTTTTTTCTCCTTTAACATAATATACTGGAAATGAGCAATGGATGCCTGGAAGAACACGATAGAGCCAGCCATGTGGCCTTCCCATGCAGATACCAGGAGCATAAGTAGTACACAAAAGCAACAAACACCTGCAGTAAAAACACATCTACAGTAACCTGTTTAATTATTTCTGTGCTTAATGGAACCTAAGTGAGCCTCAGTTGTGATATCCTTGGTTTTCTGGAGAGGAAGAGGAAAGCGTGTATCAGATTTATGGAGTACCTTCCACAGCAGTCATGAAGCTTCACCTCTCCCATACAGAAGAACCAGGCTGGCTGCCCTCGCTCAGCCTGGAGGAAAAGGTTTCAGTATTTGCCCAAAAGAAGGGGAAAAATGGGTTAGGGGGGGAAAAAAAAAAAAGAGGAAAAAAAATTGCCACCTGGAACTTATTTCTTCTTACTGCAAGTAAATTATCCTATCCAGAAAATACACTTTTTTTCAAACAGTGAGAAAAAACTTGTTAAATAGCAGTTTAGAGCATATGCACGAGGCTGTTCACTGTGCTTCAGCATTTAATATTTATATAGCATTTTTCTCTGGTGCTTGTCTATCCTCAACCACTCCATACTCCTCACCATTCCATCAGAAATCATGTTAAGAGACAAAACAATTGTCAGTATTCAGTGATGGAATTTACTCACTTTAACTTAACCCCTTACTAACAGAAACATGACATATAACAAAAAAGACTGTATTTTAAAAGGGACACTGCTAATTCATAATGAAAGTAAACCTACAATTGATATGAAATTCCATAAATGGAAAAAATTAAAATAGAAATTAATAGAAAAAAATCAAACTGTCCTCTGATATGTATCTTACAATGACACCAAATAAACAATTTATTTCTGGTGTCAAATAGTGTGTTGTCAGTGACCAAAGTGAGCAAGAGCAAAGATAAATGCAGAGAACACCAAAAAATGAGGGGGGAAGAAGTTAATTAAAAAAACATCCTTTCATTTTAAATAATCCAAGCTGTTAGCAATAAATGAAGTAAAGAATTCAGAGAAAATATACATTTTAACTCCAGCGTCCCTGTACAATAGCCAGCTGGGGAATGCCAAATTTCTCTTCCTAGGAAACACTTCTCATAACAGTACAAGATAGTAATTTAAAAATGGATAAAAAGAGTTCTCTTGAGGATATTATACTAGGTTTGTTTCCAAAGCTTAGCCCTGGCAAGAACAGTAGTGACAACATAGGTACAATCTTAGAAAGCACGCAGTATTTTCCTGTTCTTCTAGAATTAGCTAGAAATTTGAGTGAGAGAAAGCAATGAAAACAGAAACAAACCCCCAAAATGCCTGGGAAGTGTGCATGGGAATGGAAGAGGAGAAAAGGGTAACCTCATTTTGCTAAACATCTTGTAATTAGTATTCATTTATTCTTAGCAGTAACTTCCGGAGGTTTATTTGCTGTTGGCGCAGGAAGAGGGGGCAATCATTCACTTAGTTGCTTCCCTGCAAGACCCACAATTAAGCAACGAACCACTCAAAGTGAAAACGGATCTTGTCATTAACTCAAAACCTTAAACCTAATCAGATTAACTCCATTATCACAGAAAATGGAAACCAGAAGAGAGAATGGCATCCATGAAGGGATGATTTTTGTTACCAGTGCCTTTTTATGTGGTAGTTGGTAAATGCTTTTATATAAGGAAGGATGGTCAGTGAAGTGTAACCTGAAGGACAGGCGGTTACAAAATGAATTACATTAGAGGTTAAAGTAAAAATACTAAACAGGAGAAAACTGGAAAAAAAACAATGATTAGGTTACTCGAGGTCCTTTGTCAAGGCTCTGTGAGGAAGCGAACCCACGACCCCATAGGTTTGGCCCTTTCTCAGCGCGGGGCCTGCTCTGCCGGCGCGGGCGCTTACCTTCCTTCTGGCTGCCCGCAGCGCTCTGCTGCTGCAACAAGCTCTGACTGTACAAGGTGGGCAGCGCGGCGGCAGCGTACTGCTGGATTCCTGAGTAGGCCTGGGTGAGCGCGTCCATCGTGCCGGCCGTACCGTTCGTCAAGCCTGTTGCGCCGAGTCCTCCGTTCAGGGCCGCCATACCTGAGAGCATTTGAGCAACTTTACAAAAAACCCAACAATAGAGAAAAGAAATTGCACTTGTTCATTAGTGCTTTCCGAAAGTCGTTGGTATTATATGACACTGACAACGACGGCAGTGCATGCAGTTTGGCACTTCACCAAATGGGACTGAAAACAAAGAAACACGACTTTAGCGTCAGGATCACTTTAGCACAAGGGTTGCACAGTCAAACGGACTCGCATGCAGCCTGCTACTGGCAAGTACTACAGCTCAGTGCTCCCGAAAGCTTCCCTGCCCTCCCTCCTCAACACCCATGCTGCTGCTGAGGGTATCTGAAGCAGGGACCTATTTGACTTGCATCCAACCAGCTAGCCAGTGGGAACAAGCAGTCTGCAAGGAAACCCACTCTTTCTCACCAGGGTCTTTAGCAACAGGCTGTGACCACACAACAGGCCCAGAGAAGCTGTGGATGCCCCATCCCTGGAAGTGTTCAAGGCCAGGCTGGATGAGGCTTGGAGCAACCTGGTCTAGTGGAAGGTGTCCCTGCCCATGGCAGGGAGGTTGGGACTAGATGGTCTCTAAGGTCCCTTCCAACCCAACCCATTCTGATATCAGAAGGGTTTTGCTTATAGAGTTAGCAGAGAACCCTGATTAACAGCATTTTGAAACAACCCTTTGCACAATTATGGGCTTGGTCCTTTACGTTTGGGGTAGGAATGCTGCGATGATCTGCGCTTCCACCCTCCACCTCCGGTGACTCCAGTCCCTCCAGAAGGGGAAAACAGCAGCACATCTAGAGTGACTAGAAGTGCTTCATCCAGACTAGTCATCTTTCATGAAGACACAAAAGCGTTTGGTTCTAGCACTGTCTTTCTTCCCACTGGAAGCAGAGTTGCTTAATTTTTTTTTCTTTAAAGCGATTCTACATCCTGATAAATAACAGAATAATTTAACTGGGATGACTGCCAAAGAGGAAATTTCAGACTGGATTGCTAGCTGTGTGGAAAATGTCATCCTATACCGTGCGAACAGTGCAGGCTGCAAAAGAAGTTTTACTACTCTGACTCGATGGTGGACAAACTCCTGGGCCACGGCCTCTCTCCATTGCTTCTATTCCTCACCATGGCTCCTAAATGAGCAACGTTGAAGTTAACAACATAAACACTTCTTTTTTTTTCCACAAATTCCAGAAAAAGTGAATTTTGTGTTAGATCTACAGTCTCTTTGGCAGTTGAAGGGGTGGCAGAGTTCGAAGCCCTACTCATCGCCTACATCTCCAACTTGCTCACCAGGACTGAGGGTTAGGCCAAGTTTTCTGAACAACATAAACACTTTTTTTCCCCCCACAAATTCCAGAAAAAGTGAATTTTGTGTTAGATCTACAGTCTCTTTGGCAGTTGAAGGGGTGGCAGAGTTCGAAGCCCTACTCATCGCCTACATCTCCAACTTGCTCACCAGGACTGAGGGTTAGGCCAAGTTTTCTGCACAACTAGCTAACCCGTACCCCCAGTTTTTAGGTGAACAGCTCACAAACAACTTAAAAAGGCTTAATCAGGCCCCTTGAGGTACAGTAGATCTGTCACCAGAAAAATGAGGCCAGAAAAATGAGGCACCCAGAACCGTGAGCGACCATTTCTTAGACACTGATTGTGTAGTGTTGCAGTTGGAAAACTGATGGGTGAAGAGGTGGAGCCATATTAAGACCCAAAAACTAGGAATGTTGAAGAGAAAGAGATGGCTTAATTTCAGAGCAATAATAAGGGGTGATATGTAAATTGCAGAAAAGTGAGGAAATTAAGCAGAGGACATTTTATAGTGAATTAACAACAAAATCTATTAGACTGGGAAACAATCTTCAAGGAAAGTGGCATAAACCTTATCACATGAGTAATTTAGAGACAGGAAGAATACTGCAGGGAATTATCCTGCACTGACAGAGGAGGATAAAGATGCTGACCTACTGGATTTTTTCCATCTCTTATGTAGATTCAAAAAGTGTGTTCCTATGAGTCTCCAATAATCAGGACAATTGCTCAGGTGGCACCTTTCTGGCTCCACCAGAGTCTGTGCCAATTAAGAGAATTGTACTGCATAAATTATACCTTTTGATATTACTATAATTTGTGTGACTAAACACTTGACAGAGATGTGATATTCTTAGCCTTTCCTTAATAAAATGTCTCGCACTTTGAAGATTTCTCTTCCCCCTCTTCAGAGCATCTCTGCATCCTGATAGGCAGTACTGGCTGATGCTACTTTGTACAAAAAACTGCCAGAGCACGTATAATGGTCCCAGTTATAAAACAAAAACTTGCAAGCCAAGATAGCTTGTGAAGCATCTTATATCAAAAAGACAGGACATTTGGAAATGGAATATTCATAATAACAATAGAGTTATTAATTATTAAGAATTAATTATTATTAATAACTGTTATTAATATTACTTGATCCTGAGCCTGACCTTAACCTGCTCTGATATTTTTGTACCTAGGTTTGTGACACTGCTTGCATGGGTGTACACACAGCACTGGTTAAAGTAAAGGTTGCTGATAAAGCAGCTTGTATCTCCTTTTATTACAGTGTTGAAATAACTTGATAATAGAGGAAGCATTAGGATAACATGTTATCTTTTGTGAGTCATCAGCCTATTAGATAAACATGCCTTGTGTAGCAGTGGGCAGCATCCTCCCCCTTCTTTCACCCAGAATCAATAGCCCCTTCCCATCAAATGATCTTAGATTAGCAAACAGCCAGACAGCCCCAGCTCACTGCACTGCTTCCAAGGAGGGCACGGCTACCACTACTGCAGCACACGTCTCTAAACACACTTCCCTCCAGAGCAAAACAGATTTTTTCTATTCTCCTATCTTATATTTTATGAAATCCATGAGATCCAGCTGCAGTTACACACCTCTGCCATCTCTTTATTATCTCTACCAATGCACCTCAGTATGATATTAACTCTGGTCCTTTCTGTGAAACAACCTTTTGGAGTCTCTCATCTATGACCTTCTACATTTTTGAGTTACTCTACATAATACAGAAGTGACAATGCTTGGCAAGCCAAAAGGTCTCTCAAAGTGTTTTCCAAGCACCTTCAAATATGTCACAAATAGTTTTATCTCCACTTTACAGATGTAAATATGGGGGCAGAAAGGCTAAGTGACTGCCCTGGCTTCACACACATATATTGTGTTGCAGCTGTCCAGTATCCTGAATCCATGGTCTTTTTTCTTAACTGCATAGAATCTCTTCCTCCCTCTTTATTAAATTTTCCTCATTATCCATAATTTTTTTTGTTAGCTACATTATTTACATGTATGTGTCCAAAGGAGACAGTCTAATGCTTTGCCATTTAAGGTTTTAGATGCTTCAAGCACGACTGAGGGAAGACTGGGTGAATCTCCACATGTACATACAACTGTTGTCAAACCCTTGGAGATGGTTTAAACTTACCATACTCCACTTACTTTATTTTTTAAGGCCTCCAGACATCTTTCTACAATGCTTTTCTCTTCAATGAGAGCACTATCAGTCTCCACAGCCTAGCTTTTTTTTCATGGACTCAGCCAGGATCCAGAAAACAGATAAAAGTCTCCTAGTGAGCTCAGCCTAGAAGACATTCTCCTTGTGATTCTCACATACAGAGCAGGACATGGCTTCAACAGGAGAGTACCTCTTCTGACACCTTTGTGTAAATCAATGTCCAAGCCCAGTGTCACCTTTTGATTAATTTTTGGGTTAAGCTCCACTTGACTTGTACTTTGGATCACTCTTGTTAATTCCCCAATTAGAAGCATGCCACTCAATTCCAATTTCTCTGCACAGTTACTTCAGGAACCTCCATGACCAGTGAATGTTTTTACTGGAGTGCTTATGACCATGGCACAGTGTGAAACATCAGACTCTCTGAACGTGAGGGTTCCTGAAGGCAAACTCCTAGGCAGGTTTGAGTGTGAATGACTGGGTCAGACACGGTCACGAGGAAAAACACTGGCTCGTCATTAAAATAGACAGGGGAGGTGGTTGTAATTTGAACAATGCTTCACAATCATTAGCATCACAATTACCTGAAATTGCTAATCAGTGTCATCTGTTTGAGAGAAACAGTGCCACAACACTGTGATGTGTTGGGGGAAGCAGTTTTCCTTCTTTAAATCTCCCCCATACACAGACAGACAGATCCACATACATTTTTTAAGTGCTATACATATACAGGTATTCCAGGCACATACACTCTCTGTCCATAAAAACATCCATGAAGAAGATGTAAGACTGAAGCCACTGTTGGTACATGGAAGTAATGGTGGCTTAAAACAAGCTGAAGTTTGTACTAGGTTGTGAATACATCATTAATATCTCAAAAGACACATGCAGATCAGTTCGCACACATACCACCTCAAAATACTTGCTGAGAAAACGTAAACTCTTTGCTTGTAGCCTAGCAAGAAGTGTTAAAAGTGCAACAGAAGGGTTCCCATGCAAAGTCAAGAGCTCAAAGGTGGTTCACTCTTGCTCGGTCTTGATGAAAGGGACATTATCTTGGAGTGCTCCAGTGTGCCTGGGTTCTTAGTGTTTGTGTGAAGGAAGGAGTGGGATGTCATACTCTGTGACTTCTTAGAAACTGAGTAAAGCACAATTTTTATCAGAAAAAGACATTTAATGATTTCTTACTTATGACAAGGTTAACTCCCTTACTATGAGAGCTCACAAGAGGAGGTAAGTTAGCGTTTCACGCATGCCATTTTCAGTGGCTTGCTTTAACACTAATGTAAGAATAAGAAAGGAAACAAATATCTGCCATTTTGGGAACTAATACTTACATCTTAAGTTGTTCTTGAGTTACATTTACTATGAGGTTGTTTGTGTGAAATATGCATGTCCTTGCCAGAAGCAAGACCTGTTTTACACAAGACCCCATGCAACCACTCAACATTGCTACATGGACATCCATTAGCCCCCTTCCTTCCCAAATCCCAACAATGACAACCAGAGAGCACAGAACGAAAAGATTGGGTGAGCAGCCAAGTAACAGTGATAAAAAGGACATCATGCAGAGCATCAGAGTGAGCAAGAGATACTGAGGAGGACATCCATTCCTGGGGGTACATTATGACGGGTCATGGACTGGCAATGACCAAATAGATGCCTTGCATTGTAGAAGGAAATGCAAGGAGCAACAGCAGCTAAAAAAAACGGAGGGGGAAAATGCAGCTGGACAAATGTCTTCCATTGCAGGCAAAGGTGAAGTCATCATCGCAGAAACAATAAAAAAAAAGAATAAATCCTTCTTCAGGAAAATCTTGACCAAGGCTTAGAACAAAGAAGAATGTTCTAACAACTACTGGCATCTACTTAGCTGGAGATGCCAGGGTTTGTTTAAGATGTCATAGGATATATGTGCATGTGCTGGTATTACAGGTGACTATCTGCATCATTCTCTTACACTTGCCAATTAAAAGCCAAAGACTTGCCTTCATTTTTAAAGTATCTTCCTCTCAAGTCAATTTGATAATTCCTACAAATATTTTAAAAGGACTGTCTCCGTTGCAAACATCTTTTTATCACTACATTTCTGAGTGAGTTTTTGTACACAGGGTGACACAGCTGTTGTCAGACTCCCTAAATGAAAAAGGAGCCTCTTCTATAACCTAGATAACCCAAATCCCTGGTGACATTTCTTTTACCCTCCATGCACCCTGCAAGAAAAGGAGTCTTTGTGCAGGGACCCAAGGGACTTCACTTTGCAAAGCAAAGTATGTGAAACTAAAAGACTCCAGAACTGCGTATGTAACACGAATGGAACTAGATCACCTTGACCCCCTTATTTTGCATATAAAATAAAAATAATCATATCATCACTTTACAATCAATAGTTTTTGTGGCATGATTATTGGGGAAGGCTGTCCACCACAGCAAAAATACTCACTGTTTACGGTACCTGCTAGTGCATTAATATTATTCAGTCCAACAGTAGCTCCAGCCAATCCTTGGAGAGTACCCAGAGAAGTCAAAGAATTCATGGCCGCACCAGCTGTGGAATTTGCAGTTGATGCAGCCACTGAAAGGGTAAAAAAAAAAAAAAAAAAAGGCAAAATTAAGTCCGTATTTTGCTTATTTTAGTTGATCACAAAACAGCTTATGATACTGCTGAGCACAACAACAGGGCTACTTGCAAGAAAAAGAAAAGAAGAAAATGAGACCAATAGAGCAACCTTTTTCAAGATATTAATAGTATGATTGTTCATGGAAAGTGTTGATGAGCCTTGAACTGCAAAGACTGGATCACAAAGTTTAACTCTGTGCTATCATTTGCAAACATAGTAGAGAAACATGTATGGGATCCATCACTTTCTCAAAAGTTTGTCAATCAACCTAGCATCTCAGCCTGATCAGCTAACCAGGCTATTGAGATTTTGCCACATTTTAAATTCCATCATTAAAAAAAATAGAATCAATCACAGTAATTTTATCATAAAACAGCTTTCTGTTCTGGGACCCAAGAGTTCTAAGAAAAAATTATAATTTTTCTACGTGAGACACTATGCCATTGTGGCTCTGGTCCAGGACACCGTATGAACATCACCCCAAGCCTTGAAGTTTACAAACAGAAGAATGACCAGCCAAATACAAATTGTAACTACTATCTGTTTTATTACAGGATTTTAGCCTGGCCTTTGTACCTAACTAGTTGTGTATATGCACCCCATATATGATACCCAGAGATACCCCATAAATGCCCAGAGAAGCTGTGGATGCCCCATCCCTGGAAGTGTTCAAGGCCAGGCTGGATGAGGCTTGGAGCAACCTGGTCTAGTGGAAGGTGTCCCTGCCCATGGCAGGGGGGTTGGAACTAGATGGTCTTTAAGGTCCCTTCCAGCCCAAACCATTCTGTGATTCTGTGATTCTATACTATACCCACCCCGAAAGCTCTGCCAGAGGGGAAGCTGAGGCTCAGGTGGAGAAAAGGTCCTTGCTGCTACAATGTCAAGGGAATGATGAAGATGGATGAGATGCATCCATCTAAACTACAGGCTTAGGAAGAGAGACTCACTCTCTTGTCCTAGGAAAGTAATAAAGCACCTTAGAAAGAGCTATCATTTAGGATAGGTTGGATGACCTAGAAATGCCTGTCTCTCTCACAGAAGGGCTGTAGATAACTAGTGTGGATTAATTCACAGGTAGGTGAAGTTTTGCCAGTTGAATCACACTCATAAAAGCTGCAGAAGCAATTAAGATTTTAGCTTGTCTCCTGAGCCCTCCTTTAGTTCATCAATCATAAAGACTTTCTTTTCCTTTAAAAAGTTGCATTATCTTCTGAAAAGTGAAAGTTTAAAATCAGAGTTTTGGTGATGATTTACTAGGGGCATATCATGTCTACACCACGCTTTTCTACTCCTATTTATTACCTAACCGTGAAATGGTTGCAACCGCTTTTATCTTGATGCTCTTTTGAGATGCGGAACACATGAGATTACTCAGTGAACCCGGAAGAAAGTGAAGTCTCTACAGATGCAGGATCCAGTAAGGAAAGTAGGAGGCAACTTTTTTACTCCGTGGGTGAACGTTAAAGCTCTAATCTACAAATAACCCACCTTTACAACATTAAGACCCACCAAAGAAAAGCCTTGGCACTCATGATGCCTCAAAGTACCTCACTTCGGTGGGCTAAGAGTGAGAGATTTCCTGAGTGTGTGAGGCACTCCTTGTTCCCACTTCCCTAGCATCTGCAATGTTAACTTGAATAATTCTATATGTTGCAGATAGAAGCAGCTATGATTATTCAGTCTCTCTCCGCAGAGCAGTAAGAAGCCAATAATGTCTTTGATTAAAAAAAAAAAGTAATCACAAAACCCAAGTAAAAAACTTCTCAGATAATGTGGGCACTAACAGAGAAGAGAGAAAAAAATCAAAGTGAACGAATGTCAGTGAATTCCCTGTGACCAACACTGCTCCATGTTTCTGCTCATGTTCATTAGCAGATCATTTAAATGAAGTATATAAACCTCAAATCTGAAAGATCTGATTGGTTTTGACTGGGCTCAATTCCATACATTTCTGTTTCAGAGGACTATTACCCTTTTCTCTCGAGGAAAAACATATATTTAAGAAACAAGAGAAATGGGGCTAGGGAACTGCCTGAAAATTATATTAAAGCTCTTGGGGGCAAATAACTCCTGTGAATGAGAGCCATACGCTTACGGATTGTCAACACATCTGTTGGAGGAGGCAGAAAAACCTGATTAAATCCTTCTTCCCTCTCGCGCAGCCCACAGAGTGCGTTGTGGTGGCTCTTACCATAGTCTCACGGCTCAAACACGCAGGGATGGCCAGTATTTGTGGCCAACACCTCTCTCCTTTTATTTATATCAAGTTTCTCTGTTCCATCAAACACAGAGCAGGTGCCTCAGCGATTCTCTCATTTGAAGATGCAGTGCAGATTATATAGTTTGCCTAAATAATGAATTGGCATATAATCAATATAAAATACTAGTTGGAGCACTGAAGCACCTCAGAAATCAGTTTTTTGTTGTGGCTATTTCTTCTGCTTAGCAGTGATCTGTCTCACAGATCCACTGGGACAATGCTTTTTACTCTTTGGCTTATTATTTCTTGGAGGAGAAAGAAACTGAACAAATTATGTGGTTTCTGTTATCTTACTGAATATGAGGTGAACAGAAATGAAGGGAGCTCCTTTTGTTAGTGCACTTGTAAAGGACAGATCCAGCACCTTACTGTGTGGAGTTTACAGAGAGACTCCACACTAGTTACCTGCTTCCCTTTGACCAAGACCTGCATGTATGAAACGAAGATGAAGACAGCAGTGAGCTAAAATACTTACAGGGGCCATAAAAGGTCCAAGATATTAAGAGAGGTGAAAATTTCTCACAAAATGCCGGATAAAACCAACAGATGAAGCAAAGGTAATCCATGCCCGCAAAGCACTTCACGGGAGATGAAACTCAAGTTATAAGTCCTACAAGACACACGTGAAGCCTTAGGCCGGCTGAAAGTTTTTACCTCATATACTCCCAGTATATGCTGAAATCCATCTAAAGACAAGGACTACGCTTCTCCCGTCCTTTGCCCTTTTCGAGCTTCTTTCAACTAAACAATTGTAACATATATTGAACCAAAGGGAAAAAGAAAAATCACATGCCTTGTGGAAACAGTAGATGGCTGCACTACTTTGGGGGAACCTGTATAACTCTCTCATGTCACCAAAGCTCTTGGGCTCACCACCTGCTCAGAGTAATAGCAGAGGAAGTAAAATTCACTGTCGGAATAGCGTTATTCTATATTTATGGCTTTTAGTTGTCCAAATGACAAAAATAGATTGAATACCTACAGGATTTATAAAGTGGGTTTTTTTCTGGGTTCCCCTGCCAACAAATAAATTAAAAGAAAACATTTCACAGCTCCTTCCATCCTCACACCAGAACACTGCTGCTCTGTATGGAATCACTTCATAGTGCTGCTTAAGAAGCAGTAGGCATCTGTCTCCAGGTACTTAGCTTGATGTACGGGGCTGTAGTACCACTAGGAATTGCCCTCTTTGTGCTACTGATGCACCAGCACTTGGTGCAACCACGAGGAAAATCAAAACAAGAAAAGTGCAAATAACTTGGGCATGTGGTGTCACTGTATGGCACACCCTGTATCCACATGTGGTGTATTGTTTGTCTCTTTATGCTGGGAATTTTATCCTTGCCTCCTTAAAACCTACGTATGTCAGGGACTCAATAAATTTCTGGGGCAGTATTAAGTGCGTTAGCGAATACTGAAGCTAGGGGGAGAGATTCAGCAGACTGGAGCTCCAGCCTGATGAATGCTGGCTGAAACCACAATAGTTGGTGAAGAACAGAGATGCTTTTTACCAACTGCACCGATCATTCCCTCACAATGTTAAGCCCTGGATAAGCATCAGAACATGATAGATAAGATTTTGTCTACTCAAGGAACTTTTTCCTCTCTATCATCAGTCATTGGAATAAGCCCACAACTTTCTCAAAGTGGCTGTTGCTCAATCAGAGACTATTGGCAGGAGTCACAGGGTTGAATCCTTTGGCTGTTGTTGCAAGAGTTCAGACAAGATGTTCATCACATTCCCCACTGACCTTAAAAATCTATTAATATGTGAAAATAATATCACAGCATTGGATAAAGAGGTCATTTTAGACTTGTAAGAGTAAAGAGTTGTCCAGTAACCTGTAGAAAAATCTGCTCTTTCCTGCATGCACACTGGTCACCTGTTGCCTTCTCCACCCAAGCCACTACAGAGACTTAACAGAACACTTCATCTCCAACCATGAAAGGTGAGATGGTTAAAAATGGTTTAGTATTAGAGACCTTACTGTTTCTTCTTTGTTGACCCCTCTATCCCACATTTCTGTGTCAATCTCACAACCCTCCTCCTCTTTCTTCCAAACTAAACTCCACTTTAATAAGCATCCAGAAAACTTTAAATATTATAAAAAAAAATCATTAAGAAGCTGTGAAATGGAGAAGGGCATGGCTGCAGCCTTTCCCCAACCCCCCCACCTCCCATATCTCTCCCAACCCTAGCCATTTGACCTGACTGTGCTCCATTTCATTGATGAAATTTTTGCTATCAGTTTCATTACGAACAAAGATACTTGGCCTTTGGCAGATATATTCTTTAACAGAGCTCTCTTTGATACAGAGAACACATTCTCATTTGGAGTGGTTGCTCTATGCAGCACAGATACCTGTGCTTAACTAGTAATGTTGCATTCACAGAGATTTTTAAAGCTGTAAGGAGTTGGCACTTTTAACTATTTTCCTCAACACATTTATTTCTGCCTGTAAAAGGTTACAACACCTTTCAGGTCAGAGATTTTTTAAATAGAAAACTAAACTAGCAATGAGCCATTTCCCTTTTAATTTAAATAAGGTTTCAACACAATTACTAGAAACTATGCCAATCTAGAAGAAAAACAGGTATTAGCATAGAAACTTTTGGCCATTCTTTTGGATAGCTGATGTCCATAGAGTCATAATGATTTACATCATCTGGAAAACTACATTAAGGATAACAGC